TAAATCATTTTTTGGAAGCTTTCTTTTTGGAAGTAGACTAACGGACTCCTACTAAAAAAATCATTTCTTGGAAGTAGACTAATGGATTCCTACTAGCAGCTTGCTACCATTAAGATTGCTTTCGAGCGTTTCTGCCTCTCATAAGGAGTTAAACTCGGTGGAGGTTTCACTTTGATCTCTATTTCATTAAAAATATACAACAAAAAATAATAACACATATGGCAGCGAAAGCAACAACATGTGATTTTACAAAGTTCTGTAAATGCGGAACGGAAATCAAAGCAAACACCAGAATCACCAACACTGATCAACAGCTGTCAAATTGACCATCAGAAAATAGAGCATTGGTCAGAGCAAATGGGAAAGATGCCAGCCGCTTAGCTGATGTGCCGCATTTGATCAAAGTATTAAATATGAAAGGCGAAGACACTCGTACGTGTTCCGAGTAATCACACTTAATCTGCAGCTGCCGACGGCTGTCAAAGTTGTCGGTCGATCCCTCTTTCTTTGAGTGAATTCTTCGTTTAATTTTGACTTTGGAATTTTAGTGTAAAAAAGAATCCGGAGTTTAGAAAACTGGTCCTGGAATTTGATAACTTTCAAGGCAAATTACATGTTGCCGACCACAAGTGCGTGAATTTGAGTACCAGCTCGAACTCGACAATCGCAGCATGTGGCTGTTGAGATCGTTGTTGGCTTCCACTCCCCATTCACGTTATGCAGCACATCAAAATTGCGGTATTTTTGCTGGCATTGGCCCCAACCTGAAATTGCTCAAAATTTTTCTGTGCAAACAAAAATAAATTGAATAAAATTTCCAAAACCGGAATATGGCGTAGTGTGGGGTAAAAAAGTATCTCCATCTTTCAATTCAACTTTATCCAATCTCCATGCGACCTCAACAACGAAGAGAAGGGAAAATCCTTTTCACTTTTGATGTGTTAGTTTGTCCCGTCACTTCCCTTTTTTTGTTTTAAAATTTTTGCTGTGTTAATGTATTCAGCTTTGATTTTCTTTGGAACCATCAGCTTTTTTTTAAATTTCTGAAGCGAGGAAAAAAGGTTTACCCGAAAGGCAGTGCCCATCGCTCTGACCACCGCACACAAGTTCATTGACCAGTGGTGGAAAATATTGCGGTGGCAATTTACGCCATGTCCAACAGGCACCACATATTGCCAAATTTTCGGAATCGTCCACCTCACCACGCCGGACACACGATATCACATATCGTGTGCCTTAAATACATTTCAGTCACATCTAGTTTATTTGATTTATGGAACTGGTGGACAAAAGAGAAGAATGAAGGTGAGAACGTAATGACCACGGAAAAAGCATAAATTCTACATATCCTGGAATAGTCGGTATGGTACCTCATTTCGCGATCCAAATTAGCAATATTTACGACGAGATGGTAGTACTTAATGTAAATCTCTGCCAAGTACTTCCAGTGTAAGCGGCTTATTAGGTTAACATCATCGCTTATAGCATTTTAATAATAATACAACAAACCGAGCACTGGCGGCTCGGCTTCCCTCTTCACTTCTTTCTTGAGAGAATCCATTTGGCTTTCCGAGATTCCACTCGTAAATTCCTGAATTTTAGTACCACCAGCTCGAATCCACGATTGTGGTACAGCATACTGCAAATATTCGGCTCGTTAGGTTAATATCATTGCGACCAAGCCAGAAAGTAAAATCCGGTGGACAGAGAATGTTTTTCGCCTTGCCGACAATAGGTGAACGTAACGCATTGGCGGCTACAACCCGTGAGAAAGTAAACGACTACTTAGCCGGTACCAAGAGATGGTGCACCAAATTTAGTGGACGTCAATGCATTCGACAACGTGTGATTCGAAGCACAAACGTGGCATCACAACTTATGATGTGGGCATCAATTGTCAGAATCATCTTGGCAAGCAAAAAATTTTTTAAAACGCTATCATAAATGATTCCTTCAGATATCTTTTGCACACGAATTTCCCAGAAGCAACCTTTCCTCTTCAAAAGATTTTGACTACCAGCACTACCTAGCGAGCGGAGCTTGCTTATGTTTGGTATTGTCTATGAAAAGGTATTAGTTGGCTTACCCGTGTAGGACGATATGAAAACGAGGGTGCTGCCTGTGGTGCTGACCAGAATTTGGTTTCTCGAGCAGGATAAATCTGCAAAAAAAAATACTTGATGATAGTGGTTTTGACTTTTTAATTTCAAAAGAAGCACCGGCAACTCGAAAAACGTTAATTTCGGCATCCGAAGATTAACTTACAAGCGGTTGCTGATAAGCATTTTGCTCGGCACGCCCATAACCAGCATAGCGCCAACCCTCTTCAATCAGTTTCTTTACGTAGTCAGGAGGTGGAGGTGGTTTTCGCATCTGAAAGTACTACATTGTCATAGCAAGAACATATTCAGGATTATTTGAACAGCAAAAAAGCACACCTTGTCTTCACCACGAACTTTTCCAATTGGAGAAGCTTTATGATAATAGCTAAAACATAAAATTACAACAAACTTCTTCATCTGCGCTAAATCTATTTAGAAAAACACAATTTTCGATCTTAAGATAATTCGAAGCAGTGTGCGAGTGCCATTTCATGACAGAGACCTTCTTTGCAATGGGTTATGGACCGGAAAAGAATCGAACCAGTCGTCTAGCGTGACGGGCTAGATCGCCGACTGTTGTATTTCATGATGAAAATAGTAGCACTCCTACTGTTTGTTTGCCTCAATGGCAGCATACACCTTTCTTTTCTTCTCTGCCTTCTTTAAACGATATCCAAATTTGTGGCGGCTTTTTTCTTTTTGTCGATTAGGCAGAAGAACAGGAGAGGCAAGTGAAATTTTTTCGTAATTTTAAAAAGCATGAACTCACAAAATGTGGCCTGAGAAACCGAATCCTGTGACAGTTTTCCGGTTTTACATAATGCGGCAGCGGTAATGAAATTTGCACGTCTTTTGGCACTAATCCAATCAGCTTTAAACGATCGAGTAGTATTGCCACACATGTCTGACACTCCAGTGTTCGGCACATGAACGTATCCGCATTCTAAATAGTATTTATTACTTTTATATGGGTGAGTGAGCGAGAAATTCATCTCTCCGACCAATAACAAGCCCTGGTAAAATCGTGTCCAGTCTAGAATGCTTTTAACAGCTTTTCCAGAAAAGCGCACTGAAAATTTTTTCCGATTCAGTTATAAAAACGCTGTTAATAAATAACTATCAAACAAATAGTGCCTCTGTCCGAAGAACCGTTAAGCCGATAATCTCTTCAGAAAACGAATTTCGAAACTGTCAGCAGATTGATCACCAGATGTTACAGCACTGGTTAAACTGCCAGCTGCATAGCTGGAGAATTATGCTAATCGGTGTTGGTCAAAGTACCAAAATATCTAACACATAGAAGGTCAAAATCAAATGTTACTGTGCATTTTCCCTGTGAAACCCAAACAGACACGAAAGTTACTGCAAATTTATTAGAAACAAGCTTTTGACTATAAGGTATTTTTAAAGGCTTTTGACTATCCACAGTAAAGTGCCAGCGATATCTTTGCTACCTATATTTGCACATAATTAAGATGTTTGTTTGCATTTACAACTGTTGGTGAAGGATCGAAACATGAAATTCAGTTCCACGGACCAAGGCATAAATCTCATTCCCGAGGGCCAGGGCTTTAAATTCATTTCTAAGTGTCAGAGCATAAAATTTATTTCCTGAAATCATGGAGTTATTATCAAATGGAAACAAACAATCTGGGTATCGGGAAGACTTTGCAGAATATCATCCTCAAGTGTAACATCTTGAAACGCAACAAGTGCTTCCTCGATCGAAGCTGCTTGATATCGAGAATCATAAGCGATGCATTTATCCGATCCAGGTTTTATAACACATGGGCACTGCAATACTGCGCACTTTCTAATATCATCCAACAGAATCTTTGAATCAAAACTTCAAAAATTAAAAATTCCCGTATTTTCGCATTCGGGAAGTTCTCCAAGCGATATCAAATGCCAAGAGCAATCACGCGCTAGCAAGGTTGTCGATGGTTCCTCAGTCGTCTTAAAAGCCAGAAACAAACAGATGATCAGAACAGCTAGGCATACCTGAGGTATATTATTGCCTCGAATGCGCTGGTATAATAAATCATTGAAATTGACGTAATCCGTGCGTCCTCCGTAGGTATGTCGTTTTTTCACCGACGCTTTCTTTTGTATGTCCTCCAAGTCATCAGTGGAAACAACAGTAGAAGCAGTAGTAGTAGTGGTAGCAGAAGCAGTTAAGTTTAGTTGCTCAGCAGGCAAGCACTCGGGTCTTTGGAAAGGCCCGAATTTGACAATACCTTGGGACAATATTTCACCGGTCACTATCTTTGTCGTGCAGAAGAATATGCCCAGGATAACATCCGGCTTCATGCTACCCGCAACATCCAAGTTTCTGTGGTTTGTTTCAGCGACGTGAGCACACTATGTCCTGGAATCACACTTTCTAGCTCTGACGTAACAATCAGTGAAATATCTGGTTTCCGGGAAAAAAAGCTTTAGATTCTGCAGCCTAGCTTTGGATTCTTCCATCAATTAATATTCGTCTCTACCCTAATTTTAGTTGCTTTACTACAATAGTTTTAGCACTTTTAAGCCAAATTTCATCTAGTTTTGCTTTCCAGTACAATCTGCGCACCATTCGGATTATTAATCCAATTTTTAGTTTAATTTACAGCCTTCTTTTTGTTAGCTTAAACCCAAAGTCAATGATTCGATTGTGCTTATGGTGTTATCAGTCCCCTCAAATTTCGTTCGCGCTATGGTAAATTGTTATTGTTTTGACCATTCATTATGGAATATCGCATTTGCTTTTTAATATACGAAGAAGGTAGTCCGAATGGTAGCAAATGCCAACAGCAACCAACCATCGACATAACTGTCGCTGCCTCTTTTGATTGCTTTTAGCAAACTGATGGTGGTTTGGTTTCCCTAATTTTCAAATTACTATCGAGACAAATGAACAAATCATGGAAAAGCTGATTATTGTATTCTAAGAACCCTCGGCATATCTAAACGATACTATCTCGCTACTTCCCATTTTTATCTCGCAGAAATATTCCTCTTTTCATAAATAGTTCCAGTAAATTACTAGAATTAATAAATCTCTCACAAAATAACGGCCCATTTAGCTAAAGGTACTGGAAATGAACTAAAGCGCAAACAAATCTCTCAAAAATAAATAAAATAATAAGCAAAGTTGATCTGCGTGTTGTGAGCAGTTGCACCGAGCCACAATGATTTAGCACTGACAATCCCAGGAGGTGAAGACGAGGGAAGAAGGGTGTGGCAGGGTGTGGACGTCAAGCGAAAATAAGAGGTTATACTTCATCCTTTTTTCATACATTTGTCAAATAGGGAAGGCGATGAAGAAAACAATTAATAGACAGTTTGACTCATGAAACCATCAGTGACTCACGCTAAAACCCTTCGGTAAAAGCAAACAAAATGACTTTTTGGGGTGACATTACACAGGGAGCAGTGTAGAATAGACCAAGAATAAATAAAGGCAAGCAGTAAATGGGAAGAGTTAATTTACGAAATTATTGTATAGGATAGTAAAGAGGGAGGAAATAGCAGACGAAAAATGATATTTTACGATTTGCGGTTTCCAATACGAATTCGCCAAGTTTGCAACACGTTTTAACGAAAGTTATTCGTTCGAAAAAATCCCAAAACTTGTGAGAAATTTAAGCTTTAAATCGACAATTTCTTGAAAAAAAAGGGGGAGAATACATTTCGCTTTTCTCAATGTCGCAATAAGGACTGAAATTGTGGAAAAACCGGTAATGGAAATTGCTATCGTTACAAAAAGTCACCGCCTGTGTAGTACGAATGGTGTACACATGTGTTCGTTTGTAGGTATGTATGCGTATGTATATGTATGTACGTTTTTTTTTCTTTTTATATTGAAAAGTTTATAATAAATTGCATTTTTCATGATAACAGTATAAGAGGAAAATAACAGATGTGTTTTTTTTAAACGTGTAGGGATGCTTTATAAATAAATGGCAACGCGTACCAGGCTAGCCGGTGCGATCATGCGTTTTGTGCAATTCAGCCCATCGA